AAAAATAATGAAGCTTGTGGTCAAAATGTAAAATAAAAAGAAACCACATTCATCGTCAACAGGGTCGCTCACCTCGTTGAGGATTCGCTCTCAAAAGGCTTCTTCTGCTGCTCCCTCGTGTGCATTCCTCTCCACTGTGGGTGGAGGCGTGGCTGTGACGTAACAGAGGTGACGTCACTAGGGCGAGGCTCCGCCCCCCGCGAGCCCGGCTGGCGCATCACGTGGTGCAGTGCTGGTTGTTTGCTGGACCGGAAACAGCAGGGCATTGGGTTCGACTTCAGATTCCGTGGTCTACACAGCGAGGGTGAGTGAGTGGGTGAGTGGATGGGTGAGTGGGTGAGTGAGTGGGTGAGAGATTGGGTGAGTGGGTGAATGAGTGAGTGGGTGAGAGATTGAGTGAATGGGTGAGTGGGTGAATGGGTGAGTGAATGAGTGAGTGGGTGAGAGATTGAGTGAATGGGTGAGTGAGTGAGTGGGTGAGTGAGTGGGTGGGTGAGGTGGGCGGGTGAGTGAGTGGGTGGGTGGGTGAATGGTTGAGTGGGTGAGTGGATGAATGAGTGAGTGGGTGGGTGGGTGAGTGAGTGGGTGGGTGGGTGAGTGGGTGGGTGAGTGAGTGGGTGGGTGGGTGAGTGAGTGAGTGGGTGGGTGGGTGAGTGAGTGAGTGGGTGGGTGGGTGAGTGGGTGAGTGGGTGGGTGAGTGAGTGAGTGAGTGGGTGGGTGAGTGGGTGGGTGAGTGAGTGGGTGGGTGGGTGAGTGAGTGAGTGGGTGGGTGAGTGAGTGGGTGGGTGAGTGAGTGGGTGGGTGGGTGAGTGAGTGAGTGGGTGAGTGAGTGAGTGAGTGGGTGGGTGAGTGGGTGGGTGGGTGGGTGGGTGAGTGAGTGGGTGGGTGAGTGAGTGGGTGAGTGGGTGAGTGAGTGAGTGGGTGGGTGGGTGGGTGAGTGAGTGGGTGGGTGGGTGAGTGAGTGAGTGGGTGGGTGAGTGAGTGGGTGGGTGAGTGAGTGGGTGGGCGGGTGAGTGGGTGGGTGGGTGGGTGAGTGGGTGGGTGAGTGAGTGAGTGGGTGAGTGAGTGGGTGGGTGAGGTGGGCGGGTGAGTGAGTGGGTGGGTGGGTGAATGGTTGAGTGGGTGAGTGGATGAATGAGTGAGTGGGTGGGTGGGTGGGTGAGTGAGTGAGTGGGTGGGTGAGTGGGTGGGTGGGTGAGTGAGTGGGTGGGTGAGTGAGTGGGTGAGTGAGTGGGTGGGTGAGTGGGTGGGTGAGTGGGTGGGTGGGTGGGTGAGTGAGTGGGTGGGTGAGTGAGTGGATGGGTGGGTGAGTGAGTGAGTGAGTGGGTGAGTGAGTGAGTGGGTGGGTGAGTGAGTGGGTGGGTGAGTGGGTGGGTGAGTGGGTGAGTGAGTGAGTGAGTGGGTGAGTGGGTGAGTGGGTGAGTGAGTGGGTGGGTGAGTGAGTGGGTGGGTGAGTGAGTGGGTAGGTGAGTGAGTGGGTGGGTGAGTGAGTGGGTGGGTGAGTGAGTAGGTGAGCGAGTGACGTCATGCCCCCTCCCCTCACGTCCCCCGCGTCCCCAGAGTTGCCGGGCAACATCCTCCACTCGGTGAGTCGAGCGGCGTTCCAGCGTCACCCCTCGCTGACTCACAACAACAACAACGACGAGAACGCGAATAAACTCGCAGCATGTGCTCTAAGTAATACTCGACCCCCCAAGGCTCTCCGTGATAATACAACGTCAGTGGTTGAGTTCTAAATGCGGGAAGTCTGCCGAGTGGTGCAGCGTAGCCCCATTCGCTAGGCCGCACTCAGGCGCCTCGAATTGTTGATTTTAATTCGAGTTTAATTTTTATTGCTTTAAGCTATAACTTGAATGTATCGATTTTCAAATGTCGCGTTGGAATAGTTCGTTTATTGTGAGCTTACATTACGTTCTCGTCGATAATTGAATGCAACTTTTTTTATATTTCAACGAATAAAAACGCGGCCCGGTTTTTGCTCGTAAGCCTCGGTCTCGCCTGAATCTTGGCCGCAAATCGGGGCACGCGGCCCCGCATGGGAGAGCTCCGTGTAGACGCGTACTTTTATTATTTATATAACCAAGGCCACGTAAAAATTAACACCGTTTAACAATCACATTCGTTTACAAGTACAGTTGTTTTCTACAAGTTGAATTACGTGTTAATAAATGACCACTCACTCACCCACTCACTCACCCACTCACTCAACCACTCATCCACTTACTCACCCACTCACCCATCCACTCACCCACTCGCTCATCCACCCACTCACTCACCCACTCACTCACCCACTCACTCACCCACTCACCCACCCACTCACTCACCCACTCACTCACCCACTCACCCACTCACTCACCCACTCACTCAACCACTCATCCACTTACTCACCCACTCACCCATCCACTCACCCACTCGCTCATCCACCCACTCACTCACCCACTCACTCACCCACTCACTCACCCACTCACCCACCCACTCACTCACCCACTCACTCACCCACTCACTCACCCACTCACCCACTCACCCACCCACTCACTCACCCACTCACTCACCCACTCACCCACCTACCCACTCACTCACCCACTCACTCACCCACCTACCTACTCACTCACCCACCCACCCACTCACTCACTCACCCACTTACTCACCCACCCATCCACCTACCCACTCACCCACTCACTCACCCACCCACCTACTCGCTCACCCACTCACTCACTCACCCACCCATCCACTCACCCACTCACTCACCCACTCACTCACCCACCTACTCACTCACCTACCCACCCACCCACCTACTCACTCACCCACCCACTCACCCACTCACTCACCCACTCACCCACCCACCCACCTACTCACTCACCCACTCACTCACCCACCTACTCAGTCACCCCACCCACTCACCCCACCCATTCACTCAACCCACCCACTCACTCACCCACTCACCCACTCACTCACTCATCCACCCACTCACCCACTCACCCACTCACCCACCCACCCACCTACTCACTCACCCACTCACTCACCCACCCACTCACTCACCCACTCACTCACCCACTCACCCACCCACCTACTCACCCACTCACCCACCCACTCACCCCACCCACCCACTCACTCACCCACTCACTCACCCACTCACCCACCCACCTACTCACCCACTCACCCACTCACTCACCCACTCACTCACCCACTCACTCACCCACTCACTCACCCACTCACTCACCCACTCACTCACCCACTCACTCACCCACTTACCCACTCACCCACTCACTCACCCACTCACTCACCCACTTACCCACTCACCCACCCACTCACTCACCCACTCACTCACCCACTCACCCATCCACTCACCCACTCGCTCATCCACCCACTCACCCACTCACTCACCCACTCACTCACCCACTCACCCACCCACTCACTCACCCACTCACTCACCCACTCACTCACCCACTTACCCACTCACCCACCCACTCACTCACCCACTCACTCACCCACTCACCCACCTACCCACTCACTCACCCACTCACTCACCCACCTACCTACTCACTCACCCACCCACCCACTCACTCACTCACCCACTTACTCACCCACCCATCCACCTACCCACTCACCCACTCACTCACCCACCCACCTACTCGCTCACCCACTCACTCACTCACCCACCCATCCACTCACCCACTCACTCACCCACTCACTCACCCACCTACTCACTCACCTACCCACCCACCCACCTACTCACTCACCCACCCACTCACCCACTCACTCACCCACTCACCCACCCACCCACCTACTCACTCACCCACTCACTCACCCACCTACTCAGTCACCCCACCCACTCACCCCACCCATTCACTCAACCCACCCACTCACTCACCCACTCACCCACTCACTCACTCATCCACCCACTCACCCACTCACCCACTCACCCACTCACCCACCCACCCACCTACTCACTCACCCACTCACTCACCCACCCACTCACTCACCCACTCACTCACCCACTCACCCACCCACCTACTCACCCACTCACCCACCCACTCACCCCACCCACCCACTCACTCACCCACTCACTCACCCACTCACCCACCCACCTACTCACCCACTCACCCACCCACTCACCCACCCACTCACCCCACCCACTCACCCACTCACTCACCCACTCACTCACCCACTCACCCACCCACCTACTCACTCACCCACTCACCCACCCACCTACTCACTCACCCACTCACACACCCACCCACTGCTATAAATTTTCACGAAATGAATCGCTTCGTTAGGCTACCATCGGTGGCTAGGTCGCTTCTGAAAAAGAGCCGGGTAGCTCAGCGGCCCTTTCCTGGTGAGAAAAGAGTTGAGTGTTTATGGCCTCAGAGCAGAGCTAGAAAATGGACAATTTGTAATGCGTGTAGTTTAATCGATCAGAATAGCTGGAACAATCCCCAATCCAAAATGCTTTCATAGATCCTAGACAACATACGTACATCTATCATCTCCCGCCGTAATGATCGTGTCTCCTCGATGTGTGCGACGTTGCTACTTTAGTGAATCGGCGGCGTTGTGGTGGTGATAACAAAGGCTCAGCCTCTTAAGCCTCACCTTGCCATATTAATAAAAAGTGTGCCGTACTTGGCCCTTCCACCCTCTCCAACCATTATATATACGGAGTGGTAGCTCTTGCAATCTCTCATTTACTTGATACAGCTGTCGTGGCTGTGACGGTTCCACCTGAAGACGGAAGCTTGTGTTGCCTCCGAAACGTCGTGAATTTTTTCATTTGTTTTATTTTACTTTTATTAATTTAAATGTTTTACCTACATGGTGACTTTACCGGAAAAAAAAACCTAAGAGGTGATTACACCGTGCTGCAGTCTCTAAAAGCCGAGTTCAGTTGTGGACCATGATGCCAACCAACAGCAGCACCCCCCTTGATTGGTGGTCATTGTCAGGTTGGGTCCTCACTGCGCTTCAGGCTAACCGACACGTCCCTGTGTGTCTCTGCAGTTGTCATCGTCGTCGTCGTCGTCGTCGTCATGATGAGTGGCAGCCCCTCCACCTCCATCTCTTCAGCTTCGGGAGTTTGCGAGGAAGCTTTGGTCAGTGTTTGCGATTGCGTTCATGTCGCCGTGTGCTTACAATGCGTTTGAGACAATCGCTTTAGGCCGAGTGTTGTTTCGTGTTTGAGTGGGTTGTTGGGTGAACACAGCCTGGTGGTATAAGTTATGGAATCTACATCATGATACCTCCTTTGCCAGTAGCAAGATATAGTAATAGGGGTTTACCCTTTTTATCTGGCAACACAACCGACACCTTTATACAAGGGATCGTGTTTGCAATGACCACAACACTTGCAGTCAAAATGCAAACGAAATAGAGACGACCCTGATAATGATATGCACTGTCCTTGAAATTGATTGGTCCACACCCGAGACGGCTTTCATTTTTATCACATTGGTATTTAAAATTAAATATGAAAAACAAATTTTCCTTAAAAGTGGAAAATTTTGGCAAAAATTTTTTTCAAGAAAATAAATTGTCACGCACAACGAGTCTGTGTGCAAAATGTCAGCTCGATTGGATCACGGGAAGTGGGTTAAAAAACGACCGAAAGATTTGCACGGTCGTAAGCGCGCAAGCAAGCGAACTTCATATAAAGGATTTTAAAAAATGTAACTACGTGACATTACCGAAAAATCCAAAGAGTATGAATCTTTGCACAGCAACGCGCGCATTGAGGGGTGTTGCTCACTCCTAATGGCTCGTGTGTGTGCGCGTTTGCTTTGTGTGTCTGCGCACGTGTGTGTGTGCGTTGAACTTCTTCCGCACCATACTTAGCCGACTGTGCGCTCACCGGAGATGCGCGTGTTCTTGGTGTCGGCGTGTCTCTTTTGTAACAAGCCGGCGAGCAGATAAAGTGTTGCGTGATTACGATTTGCGCAACGATTGCTTCGAGGGCGATTTCAACGCGAGGGTGACGTGTGACGACCGCCTCTCTCTCCGTCTGTCCCGCAGGCGGTGAGGCCTGTGCCTCTGCTGCTGCGTCTCTTGCGCTCTGTCGGTGGTGGCGGTGGTGGCGGTGGTGGTGGTGGCGGTGGTGGTGGTGGCGGCGGTGGTGGTGATGGCAGTGGTGGTGGAGGTGGCAGTGGTGGCGGAGGGTTTTGTGGCAGTGGCGGCAACAGCGTCAGTGGCAGTGGTGGCAGGGGTGGCGGTGGATGCGGTGTCGGCAGTTGTGGCGTTGGCGGTGGTGGCGGTGGTGACGGCGGTCGTGGCGGTGGTGGTGGCGGCGGTGGCGGCGGTGGTGTTGGCGGTGACGGCGGCGGTGGTGGCGGTGGCGGTGGCGGTGTTGGTGGTGGCGGTGGTGGCGGTGGTGGTGGCGGTGGCGGCGGTGGCGGCAGTGGTGGTGGTGGCGGTGGCAGTGGTGGTGGCCGTGGCGGTGGTGGCGGTGATGGTGATGGTAGCAATGCTGGCGAGGCGCTGCTCCTGCTCAAGGCGCTTCTCCTCCTCGACGCGTTTCACGTTGGCGAGACATTTCTCCTCCTCCTCCTCCTCCAGATTCTTCTCCTCAGGACACTTCATCTCGAGATGATGCTTCTCATCAATGAAGTACTTCACTTGAATGAGGCGCTTCTTGAGGAGATAGTCTCGGAAGTACTTCTCCTCTGTGCGGCACTTCGCCCTGGCCATGCGCTGCACCTCAAAGAGGCGCTCCTCTTCCATGGTGCATCTTTCTTTGCCAAGGTTCTTTTCCTGGAGATGCTTCACCCCGCCGACGTCCTTCAACTCCCCAATTATCCTCTGATCAAGCAAAGATAAGCAAAGGAACATTCAGACATGCACATGCAAGCAAACATTCATACCCACAGGCACGCAAACGTGGACGTGCACATAAACCCAAACAAAAAACATACTCACACATGTATGTACAGATGCAGCCACCCACATTAAGTCATTCAAACTTGCTTAGTACACACTATCACCTGATGTTAACACAATGCCTTATCCATCAATACTTGTATCACATTGTACATGTAGTACTAACCTCTAAATATCCCAACTCCTATAGAATCAAAATACATGTCACATCCTCATATATCCTCATAAACCCCATGCATGCACTCAAGACTTTGTTCGATTGTCACGGTTTCATACAATTGTTGGCAATAATCATCTCTGGCAATAGTTTTCACAGAATGTTCCATTATAAATATTTAGAAGCCCATACTCTGGAGAAACTTCACTGAGCGCCTATAGTAGGCAACTGGAATGGCAACTTCCAATCAACTCACAGACATAATTCATGTGACTGCCTGATATCATTCTGTCTTCATTGGTAATAAATGGCCACTTCAAGTGCCTGCATGAGTGGGACGGTGAAGAGATGCGGTGATGGTGTCGGGACATGGTGTTGTGATATGGAGAGGAGAAGTAGTGGAATGTTCTCGAGAGATGGTGTATTGTGAAGGTATAGAGGCATGATGAGGCTCTAATATGGTGTATTGAATTGGTGGTCGTGTAGTGTGATGAGAAGGTGATGGGGAGAGTTGGTGTCGTGATATTTTGGTGTGATGGTGAGGTGACATGGTGTGCTCGTTGTCGAGACAATGTCGTGTGTTTTAACCCTACAGACCCATACACATCGTGCTCTCTTTTAGCCCCGCCCCCCTCCCAATACGTTCCATTCATTGGCTACCAGATTGTGATAAGCTCCTCCCCCCTCCTCCCTCCTTAACTTGTATTTAAGAACTTGCATCTTGGAATCCCTGCCTCACTTGATACAGCAAATTCAGCTGTGATGGTCCCACCTGGGACGGAGACTTGTGTTGCCTCCGAAACGTCGTGATTTTTATTATTTTATTTTTATTAATTTTTATTTCATTTTTTACCTACGTGGTGACTTTACCGAAATAACTAAGAGTATGAATCCTTGCAGTCACGAAAGCTTCAAATCTAGAACCCATACACACCTTTGGGGAGCGATTCTTGTAACTTTGGCCTGGGAAAGGGTCCACCTTATCCATAACGTCCCCCCACGTGGTCGACTGGCACGCCGACTCCCGGGCTATGAAGAACAGAAAATGCATTCCAAGGACGAGTAATGAATTAGAGAACGAAGGACATGGAGATTCACAGAACTAATTTTGAGATCCCAGTAATTACCTCTTACCACACAACAGGACCTGCTATTCAGAAATATTCATCACACGGCAGTAAAACTTTACAAGTCATGTTTTTGTCGGCATTTTGAGACCATAAATTCCATAAGCTTGAGACCCCAGTTTGAACAAAGATGGCAGAAACTCAAATCTAAACCCATCCTCTTTGCCACACTCGATCATTACGTCTTCCCATTACCACCAAGCCATGTCTACGAAAAGTAATTCATCAAGGAACCTCCTCCTCCGCATATAATCCATGTGATGCAGGTTTCTGAGACTTACCCTCAAAGTCATCCAAGATCTCAGCCCACGTGATTTGTCCGTCCATGTTGTTGGGAAGGAGTAGATTTTGTTTGAAGTTGGATGGCCTGGGGAGGTTGGAACAACGCTCAGATTTAGCAACCTTTTGAATCACTCATCCTCCTAATTAATACATATTTGACCACTCATTGTACCAATCCAATCACTATCGTGACTATACTCTTAGGTTGTTTTTCCGGTAAAGTCACGTAGGTAAAAATAGATAAATAATAAAAATAATTAATGATAAAAATATCAATAATAATAGAAATAAAATAAAATATCACGACGTTTCGGAGGCAACACAAGCTTCCTTCATCAGGTGTAAAAAGGCACAGCAAAATAACTGTAGTTAATAACTGTAATTACTGAAGTTATTTTGCTGTGCCTTTTTACACCTGATGAAGGAAGCTTGCGTTGCCTCCGAAACGTCGTGATTTCATATTTTATTTCTATTATAATTTCTATTATGTTTATTATTTATTATTTATTTTTACCTAAGTCACTTTACCGAAAAAAACCTAAGAGTATGAATCCTTGCAGTCACGAAAGCTTCAAATCTAAAACACTATCGGGACTTTTTTGTTGTTGCTGCTAATCCTACATAATGCACGGGCATAATATGACTTTGAGACCCCCCCCCCCACCTCCTACGCATTCCACAAGTAGTGACTAATCCCATATCTACATTTTCCATAAATATGCTAAATTAATCTGTTAATATGCAAATTCCTTTGTCAAGGCGCCCTTCCCCCTCTAACCCAGCTTAAATATATGCTGCCAAGCTTGGTGGTGTTCATTCAGACGCTGTCTTTTCGACAGCCCTGTTCTTCACCTGAGGACGGCTGCTTGCGTTGTGGCCGAAACGTCGTGAGAATTGTATTTTATTATGTTTTATTTTTATCATTTTATTATTTCCCTTCTGCGTGACTTTACCGAAAGAACCAAGAAGACTATCGTGACTGTTGCTCTAAAAGCCTACTCACTCGCTTGTTTGCCCACTCCTGTGTGCGCCCGATCACTCACTCATCCACCCACACGAACATGTTTATTCCAACTGCCTATTCCATTAAACATAATCACCAGACTTAACAATGATATTTCACCTCTAATCCCGACATGCATGTTCATGTACAGCCCATTTTTATTAATCGACTGCATGATAAAAGACCCATATGCCTTGTGGGTCATTAGGGTCATATGACCATACTTAAATAATTTGTTATAATACGAGCATGACGTCGTAGGTCACTTGATGTCAGAGGTACCACCCATGTGGCTGTGACATCACAGATTGGAGACAACTATGGCAGCGGCTCGGGTCTGAACTTAAAGGCAGACTCCTCCCAAAATGTTGAATAACATTCAATACATATAATGTAGGGCACAATTGTACCAGCAATGAGAACACAATAATTGTACTCGTAGTTTTTTTTGGTAAAGTCACGTAGGTAAAAATAAATAATAATAAGGTAATAATAATATAATAAATCACCTACGTGACTTTACCGAAGGGAAACAATAAAATAATAAAAATATAAAACAAATACAATTATCACGTTTCGACTGCAACACAAGCAATCATAAACAACTACGCTGGTTTGGTCGTCTGCGTGCGTATCTGGACGTTAATTTATTTACGGACCCGCCCAAACAGCTCGCTCTGATTCGATGAAAATAAAACAGCCGGCAAAAAGCCACAGCTCACTTTGATTCGATAAAAATAAATAATTAACACGCCCGGAAGAGAGCGATAGCATAGGTTTGGCAAGGTCTGCGCCGCAGTGCTGCAGTGCACTGTAGGCGCAGACCCTGCGCTGTGTGAGTGTGGTGTGTATGCAAGTGTGCGAATGGTAGTTACGCTAATATTACGTTTATTTATGTATAAAATGGGTGCTGCGTGCTGCGATTAGTGGAGTCCCCAAACACATTTACCTTACGAGTAGGCAGGGGTCGCTATACAGTGAGTCTTAGCGGACTGAGCTGGCAGCTTCACCTGCCGGGACCACGGCCAGTTGCGTAGCGCACCCCTACAGTTTCGCCCATGGGTCAATACCCCCATGGGGCAACCCAGCTGACTGTTTGATGGGTACAATGGGTACTTTTCGGTTTATCCGGCTTATTACCATTATTATGTATTGACGTTGATCACGTCTCCATGGACGGCTTGCTGTCTACTTCGGTTGTGTAATTCAGATGTTGTGCATGCTGCTGCTGGTAAGGGCATGTGTTGCATAATATGCAGCATGTGTCCGCGTATCATGTTTGGCACGGATGCAGTTGGCGTTACTGTACATTTATCATGTTTTGGAGTGCCAATCCCATGCACTTTGAAATTTAATAAACTGTCAAAAAAGGTTGCAGCCCGGCCCCCGCCGCTGTTACTCTCTGGCCGTTGCACAAGCCATATCGAAATTTGCGACATGCAAATTTCGTGTGACACCACCCGGGTAACTCCCGGGATCAAAATGGGCATTGGAAAGTGATCGCTTTATGGAGATGATTATGGTACTACCACAGGGTATTGTGAACGGTTCAGGAGGAGGAGAGGTCTGGTTTTCTAAGTCTCACAGTACCGGTAAGAAGCGCCGGGTGGGGGATGCCCTCCACTGGGGTACAAATTCTGTCATTATTAGTATACGATCATGCAATGTTTCTATCTGCAAACTGTCATAACTGAAACGATCCCCGTTATTGTTCGATTGAGAAATGGAGTGACCCACACCTCTGATATCATATGTGAGGAACCCAAAAATCTGATGCATGCGTAAAACACCCACAATGGGAATACGTAAACGTAAAAACACCAACAAAATATTTTTATAAGAAAAAAATAGGTGGCCCCATAACGGATTTGTCTGTGTGTGTACATACAGACGGAGGATGCAGGGGCTAACCTGTGTGCGATCGGAACGGTGCAATTTCTGACCAATGTCACTGTGGATGGCGCACACGCTGACGCACACCGGAGCTGTGTCTTTGCCATGCAAGGGCATGGTGGATGGTGGAGTGCATATGGATGGTGCGTTACGAATAAAATTAAACAAAACAAACCCCTGGAAGCAGCCATGCGAGCAGGCTACCTTGAGAGCGATCGCGAATGGGTTGCGTGTCTGGAAGAAGCCTCGCTCTTTCAGATGCCGTACCAGCTTCGTCAACTCTTCACTACCATTCTGCTGTATTCCATGCCAGCAGATACCAAGGCTCTCTGGGATAAATTCTACGACGAATTGGCTCGCGATTACGAGAACCAGTACCGCCAGCTGACCAACAAAGAAGAAATGCTAAATCTTCTTGGTTCTTTCGCTAAAGTCACGTACAAGGGAAGTAATAAAATAAAAAAAAAGTTAAACATAATAAAATAATTCTCACGACGTTTCGGCCACAACGCAAGCCGCCGTCCTCAGGTGAAAACCAGGTCCGTCGAGGTGACAGCGTCTGAATGAAACAACACACGTGCTTGGAGCATATATATATAAGCTGGGTTGGAAGGGGGTGAAAGGGTGCGTTGACAAAAGAATTTGCATATCAAGAGCAATTTTGCATATTTATGGGAAATGCAGGTATGTGATTAGTACTTCTTACTAGCAGTTGCCGCCCGCTTCGCGGGCGGTGTGTACATGCTTGGTTGGTGGGGAGTTGAAAGTGGCTGGACACAATATACATGTTTTGGTGATTGTTTTATGTTTATTTTTGTGAGGTTATATGTATTTTAATGAGACGCTCAATCGACATCTTAAACAACTACGCTGGTTTGGTCGTCTGCGTGCGTATCTGGACGTTAATTTATTTACGGACCCGCCCAAACAGCTCGCTCTGATTCGATGAAAATAAAACAGCCGGCAAAAAGCCACAGCTCACTTTGATTCGATACAAATAAATAATTAACACGCCCGGAAGAGAGCGA